TGGGTCGCGGGGTGGGTCGCGGGTGGGTCGCGGTGGGTCGCGGGTGGGTCGCGGGCGCGGTTTGGGTCGCGGGTGGGTCGCAGGTTCTCCACCTGGAACGAATGCAAGAGAAACCCGCCGCAGGCGCCGAAAATTTTTGGGTGGGACGCGGGGTGGGTCGCGGGTGGGTCGCGGGTGGGTCGAACAGGGCTACCAGGGAGATGACCGACGAATTCTTTTGTCTCCAGGCTGTCCGCGCACCCGACACTGGCATTCCCGCGCTCGGGGTGCCAGCCCCCGCCAATGGACCCTGAAACAGCGGTTCAGCCAACGGGCATGGCACCTGAGCACATGGGCCCGCTGCCACCACACCTGCAGGACATCTTGCGGAAGATGCAAGCAAATGTGCACGCCGCCGAAGATGCCCGCCGATCGGCGCGTCAGCGCATGACAGGGCGCACGCAACAGATGAGCAGCGCCCGGCGACGCGCGCGGAAGCGTGGACCGCACAGGTCCGACCGAGGACCTTCTCCGGCCCACGCAGTCGCCGCGACCCGCTAGCGGCAAGGGCGGACGCGCCGTGCAGCAGATGCGCTCCTGGTCTCCGGCACAGTGTCCACGCTGTGTGCTGCGTGCTTGGAACCGTTCGCACCGCGGGAGACCTTGTGGCGCACGCAGTGTCTGCTGGGGCCGTGCTGCGCGCGCGATAGCAACGGCATCAGCGGGGCGGCCATCGAGGCACCTGGCACCGCATGCCGTGGTCCTGGCACTGCTGTGGCGCAGTGCCCCCCGCGCTGGCCGCCGCGAGCAGGCCGACTCTCCGACGACAGTGGTGCAACAGTCGCAGGAAACACCGGAGTCGCGGAGAATTCTCGACGATCGCGGGTGGGTCGCGGGGTGGGTCGCTGGTGGGTCACGGGTGGGTCGCGGGTGGGGCGCGGGTGGGTCGCCAGTGGGGTTTCGGGGTGGGTCGCGGGCGGGTCGCGGGGTGGGTCGCGGGCGGGTCGCGGGTGGGTCGCGGGTGGGTCGCGGGGCGGGTCGCGGGTGGGTCGCGGGGTGGGTCGCGGGTGGGTCGCGGGTGGGTCGCGGGGCGGGTCGCGGGTGGGTCGCGGGGCGGGTCGCGGGGCGGATCGCGGGTTGGATGACGACACGAACAAACAACACACAACAAACAACAATAACAACAACACGAATCCGCATCGCGGAATTCCACTTCAGCCACGCACCCAGGGAGTGAATGACCGTTCGGTTCAGCCCCCTCACTCTGATTATCGCTACTACTGCTACTACTACTGTTGCTACTGCTACTGCTAATTACTGCTACTGCTGCTGCTGCTGCTACTACTACTACTGCTACTAATACTGCTACTACTACTACTACTACTACTACTACTACTACTACTACTACTACTACTACTACTACTACTACTACTAACTACTCTACCTACTACACTCTACTACTACTACTCTACTACTACTACTACTACTATACTACTACGTCTACTACTGCTGCTACTGCTAATTCTACTACTGCTACTACCAACTGACAACTACTACTACTACTAACCACTACTACTACTACTAACTACTACGACTAGTACTACTTACTAAATGCTACTGCTACCTCAGCTACTGCTACTACTGCTACTCACTATACTACAACTATTACTATACTACTAGTACTACTACTACTACTACTATTTGTGTTACTAACTACTACCACCACTTTTAAACTACCTACTACTCTGCTACTAACTAATAGCTACTAATACTACTACTATGCTACTACTATACTACTAATACTATTACTACTACTACTACTACTGCTGCTGCTGCTGCTGCTACTACTACTGCTACTACTACTACTACTACTACTACTACTACTATTACCACTACTACTACTACTACTATTACTACTACTACTACTACGATTACTACTACTACTACTACTACTACTACTGCTGCTGCTACTTCTACTACGACTCCTGCTACTCCTACTACTCCTCCCCCCACTACTACTACTACTACTCCTACTACTACTACTACTACTACTACTACTACTGCTGCTGCTGCTGCTGCTGCTGCTGCTGCTGCGTCTACTACTGCTACTTCTACTACTACTCCTGCTACTCCGACTACTCGTACTAATACGAGTACTACTACAACTACTACTACGACTACTACGACTAGTACTACTAGTATTACTACTACTTCTACTACTACTATTGCCACAACTACGACTGTTTTTACTACTACGACTACGACTAGTAATAGTAGTCGTAGTAGTAGTAGTAGTAGTAGTAGTAGTAGTAGTAGTACTACTTCTACTACTACTGTTACTACTGCTACTACTACTATTGCTAGTGCTACTGCTACTGCTACTGCTACTGTTACTACTGCCACTACTACTACTACTACTGCTACTACTACTACTACGACTACTACTACTACTGCTACTACTACTACCACTATCGCTACTACTACTAGTACTACTACTACTACTACTACTACTACTACTACTACTACTACTACTACTACTACTACTACTACTACTACTACTACTACCTGCTACTATTAATATTACTACTACTCCTACTACTACTACTACTACTACTACTACTACTACCACTACTACTACGACTACTACCACTACTACCACCACTACAACTAAACCGCCACCTGCTAACTACTACAACTACTTCCACCGCCGCCGCCGCCGCCGCTGCTACGCCTGCTACTGCTAGTTCTACTACGACTCCTGCTACTCTAACTACTCTCCCCCCACTACTTACTAAACTACTACTACTACTACTACTACTACTACTACTACCCAACTACTACTAGTACTACTAACTACTACTACTGAACTGGCCCTACTACTACTACTATTACTACTACACTACTACTAACTACTACTACTACTAACTGCAACTACCTATACTAACGACTACTAACGGCTACTACGACTAGTATTATTACTACTTCTTCGACTACTACTTAATATATTACTATTCCTACTACGACTACTACTACTACGACTACTACTACTACTACTACTACTGCTACTACTACGACTACTACTGCTGCTACTACTACTACTACTACTACGACTACTACTACGACTAATTATTACTACTATTACTACTCCTAACTACTACTTGTACTACTACTACTACTACTACTACTACTACTACTACTACTACTACTACTACTACTACTGCTACTACTACTACTACTACTACTACTACTACTGCTACTACTGCTACTACTACAACGACGACGACGACTACTACTACTACTACTGCTACTTGGTCTGTGCCTGTACCTCGGGCGCGCTCCCTCCCCTGAGGTCCCATCTCCTGTAAGTGTTCACCTTGCGCGATGCCCTGCTTCGTACCTGGCGCCCCCACTATCAAAAGATCACCCAGAATGGCGCCATCATCTTCTCCCTTCTTTCCTGGACGCCCAGGTAGAGTTGCCAGGCTGTGTCGACTGCATCTCCAACCTGAAGCGTGACTATGTGGGATGCGGTGGAGCCGCAGACGGCTTGCATCCTTGCGTTTTTCGCAATGTGCACCTATATCAGAGGTGCTTCCACCAACTGCCGTTCACAGTCGCGCGCGTGCGATGACACGTACAAGTGCTGGCCTGCCCCTTGCCGCCACCTTTGCCTGCAGCGCCACCTCCTCCGCTCGGCGGCTACCTCCCGCCACGCGGGTGCATGTCGCCGCTTCCGCCGCTTCCTCTGTTGTGACGATCCAGCAGCGCGTTCCTCGCCGCCGCCACGCGGACCAGGACCCGCGCGGCTGCGCGCTCGGTCCGAGCCCGCGTGTGCCAGGCGGCGGCCGCGCGGCAGCAAGGAGCTGCGCTGCCGTGCCCGCCCGCCTCGGGGGGCGCGGGCCGCGCGCGTGCGTGGCACCCGCCCGTGCGGTGTTCGCGGTTGCTTGCCATCCGCGCCCAGAACCTCGAAATGGGGCGGCGGCTCGGGAGCAGGTGGGAGGGAGGAATGAGGAGGGAAGATGAGGAGGAGGAGGAGAAGAAGAGGATGCTGATGCTGATGATGATGATGCTGCTGCTGATGATGATGATGATACCCATACGGATGATGCTGATGATAATCATGATGATGATCATGCTGATGATGTAGTGATGCTGGTCATGATGGTGACGATGATCATGCTGATGACGATGATGATGCTGACGATGCTGCTGATGATGATGTTGGTCATAATGATGATGCTGCTAATAATGATGAGGATCATGAGGCTGATCATGCTGATGATGATGGTGATGCTGTTTATGATGATGACGATGATCATGATTATGACGATGATGATGCTGATGAGGATGCTGATGCTGATGATGCTGATGATGCTGATTCTGATGATGATGATGATGATGATGGCGATGGTGATTGTGATGATGATGATGATGATGATGATGATGATGATGATGATGCTACTGATGATGATGATGATGATGATGATGATGATGCTGATTATGACGATGATGCTGCTGCTGATGATGATGCTGTTGCTGATGCTGATGCTGATGATGATGATGCTGATGCTGATGCTGATGCTGATGCTGTTGGTGGTGGTGGTGATGATGATGATAATGATGATGATGTTGATAATGATGATGATGATGATGATGATGATGATGATGATGATGATGATGATGATGATGATGATGATGGTGATGGTGATGGTGATGGTGATGATGATGATGATGATGATGATGATGATGATGATGATGATGCTGATGATGATGATGATGAAGATGATGATGATGATGATGATGGGTGGTGGTGGTGGTGGTGATGATGATGATACTGATGAGCAGGAGGGTGAGGAGGAGGTGGAGGAAGAGGAAGAGGAATCCTTTTCTCCCCTTCTCTCCACCCTGTTTCTGTGCCGCCTCTTCTTCTCCCCCCCTCCTTTTGCTCTGCCTCTTCATCTTCAGCCGTCCTTCCCATCCCCTTCCTCATGTGGGCATGCCCGCGTGGACGGGCTAGCGGGCATCCTGGCCTCTTGCCACACCGCGAACGTTTGTGCGCAGACCAACCAGCTGAGGCGCTGGGTCGAGTACAAGGGCAGCGAGGGCACTCCACAGGCTCTGTCGGGAATTCGCCAGGGCAGACTCCCCTGATGATTCGACCCTCCCACTCCCCCTTCCTGGCCCCAGATTCAGAGGAGGAAGAGACACCCATACCGCTACCCCTCCGTCGTCGCCATTTTTGGATTCGCCGTCGCATGTGGACGCAGCTGCTGGGGCCTTTGTGCGTGTGTGTGTGTGTGTGTGTGTGTGTGTGTGTGTTTGTTTGCGTGTGTGTGTGTGTGTGTGTGCGTGTGTGTGTGTGTGTGTGTGTGTGTGTGTGTGTGTGTGTGTGTGTGAGAGCTTGTGTGTGTGTGGGCAGAAATGAGGCGGGGCCACATGCGGACGCAGTGCCGCATGCGGACGCAGCCATTGGGGCTTTCGGTGGAGCTCCCCATGGGTGGTCCACGAAGCGCCATGGGGGCCTTCGGTGGAGCCCCCCATGGGTCCACAAAGCGTGTGAGGGGTGTGCCGAAATGGGGCGGGGTCGCATGTGGACGCGAGAAGCCACGTCCTCCACGCTGCCCCCCCCCCCCCCTCCGCCCTCCCGAGGCGTCGGCGGAGATCATGAATCTGGGCATGGGCTGCGGGGGCATCGCGGCCCTGATCGCTGGATCCCTGGTTGCCCGCAGACCGCTCCCGGGGCGGCCAAGGCCACAGCTTGGTGCGCACCACTCGGGCCCCAGACCCGAGGGCATCTTCCTACCCACCCGCTCGGTTTCTTGGCAGGACAGGGCCTGTGGTAACGGAGCTGCTGGAACGAGGTCCGCGTGGACCTCCCCCTCCCCTCCGGAGCTGTCAGCGCGGACCTCCGGGATTTGAGCCCCCAGGGTCCCAGCGCTCTAACAGTGTCCCTCCTCGCCCTCCTCCTCCTTCTCACCCCTCCTCTCCCTCCGCTTCGGCCTCCCTTCCGTCGCCAGAGGCCTGTGGAGACCTCCAGAGGCCCTAGAAGCACCGCGGGGGCCTTTTCAGGGACCTCCTGGGAACCTCCAGAGGGACTCTTCGCCCTCGTCCTCTTCCCCTCTCATCTTTCTGTGCCTTTTCCTGCGTCTCCTCGGCCGGACCCGCCTCGACATCCAGGAGAGGTCTGGCACTGATCTTTGCCGTCGGTGTCCTCCTCCTCTTCCTCCTCTTCGTCCTCCTCGTCCTTCTCCCAGGGAAGATCAGTCCCCAGGGGTGTGAGCGCACCCGCCGAGGCGAGCAGCGCGCAGGAGCGCGGCAGGACGGCGCCGCTCTCGCGCAGGCGGCCGGCAGGAACGCGCGCCACCCGTCTGCCGAGTGCGCGTCCGGGTGGCGCCGGGGGCGTGTGCGTGGTCGCGAGCTCCGGGGGCCCGCTTCGTGGTGACAGTGCGACGCCGGAGGCCTCCGAGCGTCCTGTTCCTGAGTGAGTCTCGGGGTCCCGTCGAAGGGTCCTGCGGGTGGCCTTGAGGCCGCCTCGGGAAGTCCTTCTTGATGATGATGCTGAGGATGATGATGCTGATGATGCTGATGCTGATGATGATGATGATGATGATGATGCTGATGATGGTGATGACGGCGACGACGACGACGATGATGATGCTGATGCTGATGATGTTGATGATGATGATTGCGATGATGCTGATGATCCTAGTGATGACGATGATGATGCTGATGCTGATGATGATGACCATGATGATGCCGATGCTGATTCTGATTATGATGATGATGACGATGATGAGGATGATGATGATGATGACGATGATAATGATAATGATGATGATGATGATGATGATGATGATGATGATGATGATGATTATGATGGCGACGACGATGATGATGATGATGATGATGATGATGATGATGCTTGTGGCGTTGATGATGATGACGATGATGATGACGATGCTTATGGTGATGATGATGGTGGTGATGGTGATGATCGTGATGATGACGATGATAATGATGGTTATGGTGATGATGATGACGATGATGATGACGATGCTGATGATGATTTGATGGTGATGATGATGGTGACGATGAGGGTGATGATGATGATGATGATGATGATGATGATGATGATGATGGTGGTGGTGGTGGTGGTGGTGGTGATGATGATGGTGGTGGTGGTGGCGGTGGTGGTGCTGGTAATGATGATGATGATGATGATGATGATGATGATGATGGTGATGATGATCATGACGATGCTGATGCTGGTGATGATGATGATGATGACGATGATTATGATGATGCTGATCATGATGGTTGATGAGGATGAGGATGTGGATGTGGATGAGGACGAGGTCGACGACGAGGATGAGGATTAGGATGAGGATGAGGATGATGATGATGATGCTGATGATGGTAATGATGATGATGATAATGATGATGATGATGATGATGATGATGATGATGATGATGATGATGATGATGGTGGTGGTGGTTGTGATGCTGATGACGGTGGTGATGATGATGATGAGGATAACGATGACGATGATGACGATGATGATGATGGTGAAGACGATGCTGATGATGTTGAGGATGGCGATGATGATGGTCATGCTGTTGATGATGATGATGACGATGATGATGACGATGATGATGCTGATGATGGTGATGATGATGGTGATGAGGATGTCGTTGATGATGATGGTGATGGTGATGATGATGACGATGACTGTGATGATGCTGATTCTGATGATGATGTTGATGTCGATGGTGATGATGATGATGCTGATGGTGATGATGATGATGCTGATGCTGATGCTTATGGTGATGATGATGATGAAGGTGATGATGCCGATGACGATGATGAAGATGATGATGATGGTGTTGGTGGTGGTCGTGGTGGTGTTGATGATGATGATGACGATGACGATGACGATCATGATGCTGATGATGATGCTGAGGATGATGATGGTAATGAAGATGAGGATGAGGATGAGGACGAGGACGAGGAGGATGAGGATGAGGATGATGATGGTAATGATGATGACGGTGGTGATGATGATGATGATGATGATGATGGCGATGCTGATGATGATGATGATGATGATGATGATGATGATGATGATGATGATGGTAGTGGTGGTGGTGGTGGTGTTAGTGATGCTGATGGTGACGATGGTGATGCTGATGATGATGCTGATGGCGATGATGACGATGATGACGATGATGATGATGACGACGCTGATGATGACAATGTTGATGCTGATGATTTCGATGACGATCGTGATGATGATGATGATGATGGTGATGATGATGGTGATGACGATGATGATGATGATGATGGTGATGATGATCATGGTGGTGCTGGTGATGATGCCAATGATGATGCTGGTGATCATGCGGATGCTGATGGTGATGATGATGTTGATGATGATGCTTATGGTGATGATGATGATGGTGATGATGCTGATGACGATGACGGTGATGATGATGATGATGATGATGATGATGATGATGATGATGATGGTGGTGGTGGTGGTGGTGGTGCTGGTGGTGGTGGTCGTGGTGGTGGTGCTGGTTGAGATGATGATCATGATCATGACACTGATGATGATGATGATGGTAATGACGATGATGCTGACTATGGTGATGATGATGATGATGATGATGATGATGATGATGATGGTAATGATGATGCTGATGATGATGGTGATGGTGGTGATGATGAAGTTGATGCTGATGCTGATGACGATGAGGATGATGAGGAGGATGATGATGGTAATGATGATGAGACTGAACATGATGATGCTCATGGTGATGATGATGAAGATGGTGATGATGATGGTGGTTCTGGTGATGATGATGATGATGATTATGATGCTGACGACGATGCCAACGATGACGAGGATGATGATGATACTGATTATGATCATGGCGATGATGATGATGATGGTCATGATGATGATGAGGATGACGACTATGATGATGACCATGATGATGGTGGTTATGATGATGATGCTGATGATGATGATGATGATGTCGATGATGATGATGACAATGATGATGATGATGATGATGATGATGATGATGATGATGATGATGATGATGATGATGATGATGATACTGATGATGATGATGATGATGATGATGATGATGATGCTGATGCTGATGATGATGATGATGATGATGCTGATGATGATGAAGATGATTTTGATGATCATGATGATGGTGATGATGATGATGATGACGATGATGATGATGATGATGATGATGGTGGCGATGATGATGAGCACGTGACGATGGTGATGATGATGACACTGATGATGCTGAGGATGATGCTGATGATGATGATGATGCTGATGGCGATGATGATGATCATGCCAATGATGAATTTGCTGATGCTGATTGGATGATGATGACGGTGGTGGTGGTGGTTGTCGTGGTGGTGGTGGTGATGATGATGACGATGATGATGATGATAATGATTGTGATGATGATGAAGACGATGACGATGATGGTGATGATGATGGTGATGATGGTGATGATGATGACGAGGACGATGACGATGCTGATGATGATGATGATGAGGATGAGGACGAGGACGAGCAAGAGGATGATGATGATGACGACGATGCTGATGATGATGACGACGGTAACAATATCAACAACATATGATGATGCATAAAACTATGATTATGGTGGTGGAGGTGGTGATGGTGATGACGAGTAAGATGCCAACCATGATTTTGTTGATGATCATAAGTATGCTGGTGATGAGGGTGCTGCTCATTATGATGCTAGTGATGGTGCTACTGACGCTGCTGACAACGACGGTGCTGACGATGCTGACGTGGATTATGACGATGATAGCGATTTTGACGATGACTATGCTTACACTGATAATGGTGATGATGGTGATGATGATTGTGATGAGCATGTTCATGCTCCTAATGATCATGTCGAATCTGCTTACTATGTTCAAGATGGTGACGAAACTGATGATGATAATGATGATGCTGATGCTGATGCTGAAGATGATGATGATGATGATGATGATGATGATGATGATGATGATGATGATTATGATGCTGAGTCCGATGATGATGATGATGATGATGATGATGATGATGATGATGATGATGATGATGATGATGATGATGATGATGATGATGGCGATGATGTTGGTGGTGGTGGTGTGGTGGTGGTGATGATGGTGATGATGATCATGAGGAGGAGGAGGAGGAGCACGAGGAGGAGGAGGATGTTGATGCTGCTGCTGATGATCCTGCTGCTGCTGATGATGAGGAGGAGGACGATGATGACGATGATGAAGAAGAAGAGGAGGTGCAGGAGGAGCAGGAGGAAGAGGAGGAGAGGGGTGTAGGAGGAGGAAGAGGTGGAGGAGGAGGAGTGGTGAAGAACATCATGAAATAGACAGATGGGATAGAGTAAAGACGGGGTGCAACAGAAGGAGCGTGAAGGGGGATACCCAGTTCCACCATTCCTGTGGTCGTTGTTGCCCTGGAAATCATGGCCGCCTTCTCCGGAGGTGGAGAGGGGTTCGTGTCGAGAATGGCTAATCACCCCGCCGGTCCCTTCTACATCCATTTCTGGGCGCCGAACTTCAAGTGGGCGCTCTCCATCAACAACCTGATGGACCTCGAAAGGCCTACGGATAAAATCAGCCTGTCGATGACATCGGCCCTCACTCTCACGGGACTGATCTTCATGCGGTGGTCTTTCGTTATCTCCCCGGTCAACTACAGTCTGTTCTTTGTCAACGCGGCGCTCTCCACTTCCAGCGGGTATCACCTGGCACGGAAGATCAAGGCGGACTATATGTAGCGGGTGCGAGCTGTTTCACCGAACGGAACGTGCTTATCACGGGTAACACTCTGATTGGCGGCTGCATTGTGATTCACCAGATTGTGCTCGCCCTAGGGGGCTCTTGGCCCACAGGGAATTTGTCCCGAGTGGTGGGCTTCTCAGGGGTGGGATATACGGGTTGCGCCCGCAGGCAGGGCAGCTCGCGGTCCGATTCGAACCGATCCGATCCGCAAGCTCCGATCCCGCTCCGACGCGGACCTCTTCTGGGGCCTGCGG